TGTGAGTTCCTGCAATAACTGATTGTTGACTGTTGTTTTAAGCCCCAATACTGCCCTGTGGAGAAGTTTTTTAATGCCTTGTGGATATACTTTCATGTTTATGCTGTATAAAACTTGTTTCTACAGGTTCTGTTTATAGATAAACTTTTGTGTTCAAAGACATCTTGCATTATGGTAAAGGATTATGGGTCAAACAGATGGTTAAGAAAACTAACAATGTTTTCTTCTTTTGTGAAGCAGACTAGTCGGTTTTGAGAGTGAAACGAGTAGTTCCAAAGTTATTGTAATTTGTAATGGACTTGAAATTTTCACTTTATACGTAGAGACAATATCGGAGGAGAAAGAGAGAATTTCTAGTACTTTTTGGGTTCTGAAACTAAATGCTCCATGTCACTAGTCAAGTGACGTGTTTATCAATTAAGTGACGTGTTTATCAATTGAGATTTACGAGAAAAAGTGGGAGGTGAGATGACAATTATATTTAATAACTAAATGATGTAAGAGAGAAATTGGAGGGGACCTCCTTTTGTTTTCTTTCTTTTTTTCCTTTTGGGCGGTCTATTTGTGGGATGTGCGGTGGTGTCCTGGGTGGCGATTGGGGTTCGGGCGGCACTTGGTTGTTCGGGTTGGACTCCGTTGTGGTGGTGGCTTTGATCAGTTGCACTTGGGGGCTATGGCAGGTGCCGCGCGACGGTCAAGTTATGGCTGGGGGCAGTACGGTCAGCCTCTGTTGCGGGGGCTGTGGTTACTCGTATGAAACCTGGGGCTTTGCACCGTTTTGGTCGGGAGTTGCCGGAGCTTCTTGGGTGTGCCGTTCGGGGTTCTTCGTCGGCGGGGGCCTTTGGGTCTGGTGGTGTGCCAGATTTTTGTGCCCTGATCTGCTGTTTTTGGGTTTGGTGGTGTTGGTTTTTGTGTTGTGGTTGGTGCGGGTGTTGGGTTGGTTGTTGCTTGGTGGTGTTTTGTTGTTTTGTTTGGGTTGTTTAGTTCGTGTCTTGTTGGGCTGTTTCTGTTTTGTTGGATTTGGTTGGTTTGTTTGTCTGTGGTGAGGTTTAGACAATGCCCACTACTTTATGTGAGGGGGTGTTTAAGTGCTGATTGCGTAGTTGGCTTTAAGTCGGATTTTTCTGATTGTAAAGTCACAGATGTTCTTCGACCTTGTTTGGTGGTGTTTTGTTTTCGTTTTGTTTTGTCTGGTGTCGGTCCTGTATAGTTTGTTGTGGTTTTGCTTTGCATAGGAGGCACTTAATCTCTCTTAGGAGAGCATGTGTTGGGAGGTTTCTCCTCCTTTATCCGCTTTATGCGTCTTTAATGATATTACATTTGATTCAAAAAAAAAAAAAAAATT